ATATATATATATGGGTAGTATTTCGAGTCAAAACGAGACGAACACGAACGAATAAACTTTTGTTTGTATTCAGTTCGTTTATATATCGAGCACAAAAAAGGTGTTTGTGTTCGACTCGTTAACTTATCGAACAAATCGAACAGGAGCTTCTTAAAGATTTTGACAGCCCTACTTAGTTGTTCGCGGTACCGTCATCTCTTTGAGGGCAATATTTCTTCTCAACAGCATATGATGTTCTTGGATTTTTATTTTTAATTTTTTTAATGAAAATAATGCTTGAAAATAATGGTTTTAGAAAATTAACTACTTTTGTTCTATTTGTAAATCAAATCCTAACCTAAAAACATAATTAACTTCCTATTGTTCGGACCATCTAAAATCTTATGTTTTGAGTTTTTAGTGCAACTGTTAGGGAGTACCATAAAGTAGATCGGCTCATATTTATGTTCCACTTTTGAATTTACTTTAAATATTTGATATTTTATTCATTGCAATATGTGATTCATCACATTTACATAATGCCTTACTTATGGGGGTATTTACATGCATTCCCTTCCAATTTCTATGCATTACATATCTGACACTATCCTAAGATTTACTTTATGTTCATTATCGCTTAAATCTTTCATATCACATCAAAATATTATTTTTTAAATTTTTATAAATCAAAATATAATTTTTATTGACTGTGACATTTTTAAAGGTTGAAGTTTAAGAACAAGATATGTAAATTCATAAAAATTGTTTGTCATTTATAAAAATCTCTATTTATTTATATCGAAATTCAGTGAGCTAGCGTCCCATGCTAAAGTCTCTGAGCTTTTTTCATGCATGCATGAACAGGACGAGTGGGTGATCTCAAGGGTTTTCCAAAAAACCGGCGGAGTTAAAAAGCAACGCGGCGGCTTCGCCACGGCTACCGCCATCTCCTCCGGCATCTTTACCGCCGGCTCCGTGTGCAAAGACATGCCCACTTTACCCCTCACCGGCGAACAAGAGAACTCCTTCACAAGCATGGAAAGGCATTACGTGCCCTGCTTCTCCACAGTGGCCACTTCTAACTATCCCGGCCCCGGGGCTATTGCCTGCGGTGGGCAGGCGTTTCCTAGCGTAAGATCGTTTCAGGAGAATCCACGGAATCCGTTCTTTCTGTCTTCAGCGGCTGCGCCTGCGCCTCCGGTGACAGAGTGTGAGATTGGCGGGTGGCCGTTTGATCTTTATCGGAAGGTAGGGAGTAATGAGTTAGATTGTATGTGGAGCTTCTGAGAGAAATAGACGATTGTATTATTGTTCTAGAACTGAGCTAATTATGTTTTGTGCTTCCAATATGTTTTTTTGTTTTTCTTCTTTTCATTTATGGTTATGGACATGATTTGCTCAAATTTTTTTTGTGGTTTGGAGGACGGACTAGGCAGGTGCCAATCAATTGATCCATACCGTTTCTGTGGGCAGATTTAGCTTAGTTTGTCCATAACGAGGATTTTTTTTCTGTCTTGTTTAATTAGTTCTTTGAATCTCTTGGATGGTTCACGTGGTATGATTGCATTCTTTTTCTTCCTTTCATGCCAATAGTTTTTATTGTTGCTTGGACTGTCGCGTATTTAAATCACCTGAATTTTTTGTTTCTTGCTTAGCTGCAGCTGCCTTCTCTTTCCTTCAAAGATGAAACTTTTAACTAAACTTGCTTCTTGTTTATCTTTACAATCTTTCTTAGCTTTCATGCTGTATTTTCCTCCCATATTGTACTTATGACTGCACAAATCATGAAAAAGTTTGATGGATCTCGATAAGGAGATACCAAAGGATCACATTGAGATGGTCAAAAGTAGAGGAGTCAAGCTTTGTGTCATTCAGTCGGGAACCTTTGGCCGACCAAAGGAAAGTGCAACTGAATGAAAGAACATTATACACTTGATCTGAGGGACATCAAGGCGTGGTCAATTCCTTCAAACAATTCTGGGATTCTTCACAAAGATTGCAAGTTGTCATACAATATTCTCTATGAAGACATTGTTCGAAGGAGAACTGCCAGTCAGATTATGGTAACACATCTTTTGCCTAATGGTTTAAGTTCACCAGAGCAATAAGGTCTTCATAGTAGTTTTTTTTCTCAAAATTACCGAACGAAGATCTTCTAGCTAACCTTTAAGTGGACCGAACGATTATAGGACAACCAAATGATAATAATAGTGAATCATTAAGACCTCACTTCGAACAGTTATGAATATCAAATGATGTCAACGACAGTTATGAGTATAAAAACATCCCGGAAGCAGTTATAAATATGTAAAGTTATAATGGTGTATTAATCACTTGTAATATTCATATTAAAATAGAAACAAATATGTAACTTATAAGACACCACCTATGATCTGGGGTCATCTCTTCAATAAGGGATTATTGAATCTATTATGAGAAAACTTTATCATTGTGCATTTCACTTTTCTCTCTCATTTTTTTATTCATTCCTCTCATCCATTCAACGCTTTGTTACTTGGATGTGATCCACAAGATATTTTTGGATTAATCTTATAAGGTGTAGTGAGTGTGAAATCATTCAGTCAACAATGAGAGCGACACGTCACAAAGAAGGAACCCACTTGCGAGAAACTTCGAACATGGAGTTCGTTTGACAACTCATGCAATAACAAATTTAAGAATCTCTAGGATGAATAGCGAAACAAACAGAATAATTAACCCAATCTATATTAGAGAAGAGGGCACAAGTTGGCACCAGAACCAAATTATCGAGCACCTAAACATCAAGGCCAATTGATGATTCAAGGGGTCGAACGACTTGAAGGATCATTGTATCAAGACATTACTGGGTCCACACTGAGGATCAACCAACTAGGGAGGAGAATGGAAGTCTATTTCTAGCCAGAGAATGCATTCTCCCTGCAAATTTTTGACACTGAGCCCTGATACACCTAAAATATATAGTTGATACACGTAAAATATATAGTGCTCTTAGACACATTTTTATACTTATTTTTGAGATGTCACGCTTTAATGGAAGGTTTTTGTATGGTTTTATTTTAGGCATAAGTAAAAATGTGAAATATGCTAAAAAGAGCAAAAAAGGATCAAATTTAGAGGAAAAAAATGCAAAAATGGTGCAAAAGCATTTTGGCGCCGACGCGCTGGTGAAATAGAGAAGACCTCGCCTAAGCCCTAGAGGCGCCGCGCTTAAGCGATAGTGACAATTACTTGGCAAGTTAATTCATTTTGACAAATTTTGAAGGGACATTTGAGGAACCTATTGGCTAAAATGGGTGGTTATAATCACCAAGGATGAAAATATAATTAAAGGACTTGTGAAAGGAGGCATCCCCTGGTAAATACATCAAATCATGACACATTTTAAAGAGATACCAAGTCACCTGTTTGAAAATTATAAAAGAAGGAAGTTGAGACTCTTAGAAGGGTCCTGAAGAGTTTTGAAAAGTTCTTGAAGAAGCTTTTAGAGAAAATTTTAGGCACCAAAAATTTATTTTTCCTTTTATTTTTAGTTTTATTTTGAGAGTTAAGAGTGTTGTAAGAGAGAAAAGATTCAAAAGAACTTCAAAAGTTTGGTGGAGGATTTGAGATATATTTGTATCTTTGTTTGAAACTACTTTTGATTTTTAATCAAAACTTCTTGTTGGTTTGACAATGATTTCTACTTTTAAACTAAAGTGTGGTTTTATTTTCTCCATGAATTCTGAGTGGTTTTCTTTATCTTTCTCCTTAAAATGATAAGTAATTAAAGTGTTGGATAGAAGTTGTCGAGAGTATTAATCTTTAATGTTGGAAGAAGTTGTGATGATTTAATTCCATGCACTTCTTTTACTTCATGATCTGGCCTATCTAGATGTTAAAATTTGTTGTGAGAACATGTAAGAACCGAGATGGTATTGTCTCAGTCAACAATTAGAAAGAATCACATGAGATTATATGAATGAGAAAATAGTTCATATGATTGAGTGCAAATAAATAGGGAAATAATCTTGAAGGGTGTAGAGTTAGAGAACTTTAGAGTGACAGGCTAAAAAGCCAAACTTGGTTTATTGTTTTAGGTTTTGATACGAGATGTTAGCTCCCAGGTGGTGGGAACCAAGGGAACTCTAGAGTGAGAGCTAGAATCTTCCACGCCTAATCGGTCTTCAGAACTATTCAAACTTTAAATTAACCAATGTTTTTTATAGCATCTCTAGTAAGGGTAAAGAATAATATTGCTCCTATTTGACACAACACAATTTGAATATTTCCACAATAAAATTCATTTACTTATTACTGATTCATGATAAGGAGAAAGATATTTCGTTTTCAATGCTTTTTTTACATAAACTCAAGTTATCTTTAATAAGTTTTTATTTCATTTTCAAACATTAAAAATACCAAAAAGAGTGTAAATTTTATTCCTGCGATAAAAATTATAGTTTAAGTATTTGTCTTTTTAAAGTAGAAAGTTTGTTACTTTATATATTGCATACTGTGAACAATCCCTGTGGGTTCGATATTTGGGGCTTAATCAAAAAGTCTTATATTACTTGATAACGATACGTATACTTGCATAGTATCCCAATATATATTAAGTTAAAAAGTTAAATTCTTATTTTCTCTAGGATCAAGCTTTTGATATAGTTGCAAAGTAAGGAAAGATAAGTGAAAAATATAATCAAATACATTGTTATACTGTTGCATATAAACAGTAAAATATAAATAGTAAGGATCAAGTTTTTGGCGTCATTGTCAGAGATTGACTGAAAGCAAATTTTTATTTTAGAAAGTCTTATTAAACTTTAAGAGTTATTGTAGGATTATCTTATTATAATATTTTATTTATAAAGTATTTTTGTGTGTTTTATTTTATTTTATTTTATTGTTAGTGTATGCGTAGTTCAGGTTCTGAAGGACTAGTGCCTTACGATTCTGAATCAGAAAGAATTGTTAAGAAAATCAGAAAAAGCAGAAAAATTAAAAATTTTGAAAAATCTGAAAAAAATTACAGAAATGGCAGATTAAAATAATCAAAATGCTGAAATTCATCAAGAATTTAGACCATTAAGAGATTATGCCAACCCTACGGTAGATGAACTTCATTGTAGTATTCAAAAACCTACTATAGTGACTAATTAATTTGAGCTTGAACCTGCTATTATCCAAATGATATCAAATAATCAGTTTGGGGGATCACCAACTGAAAATCCAAATTTAAATATTACCAATTTTCTAGAATTATGCGCTACATTTAAATACGATGGTGTATCAGATGATGCCACAAGACTTAAATTATTTACTTTCTCACTGAGAGATAAAGCTAATATGTGGTTGAATTTGTTAGCACCTGGATCTTTTTAGCACTTGGATCTATCAAATTTTTAGCACTTGGATCTATCAAAACTTGGGATGATTTAACACAAAAATTCCTTGCTAAATATTTTCTACCATAAACTTAGAAATGATATTATAATGATATTATATATTTTAATCAGTTTGAGGGGGAATCTATTTATGAAGCATGTGAACGATTTAAGGAACTCTTAAGAAAATGTTGACACCATGTTATACCAGATTGTTTAATACCGCAAACTTTTTATAATGGATTAGCTGGGTCTCTTTGATCTATTATCGACGTCGCTGCTGATGGTTCATTAATGTCGAAACCATTTCATGACGCTTATGCTTTAACTGAAGAAATGACTAAAAAAAATTTTCAATGACCTTCTATTTTAATGGCCTTCTGAGAGGGTAAATCTTAAAAAAGTAGCCAATATTCATGAATTTGATGCATTTACTATGTTAGCAAATCCAGTTGCTGTAATTTTAAGAAAGTTAGACCAAGTTGAAATGAATTTTTCTCAACCAATTTCATGATTGAAGAGAATTCATTAGGCTAAATGGTAGATTCTCAAGCATTATTAGAAACTTTGAATGCCATAAATAATAAGTAGAATAATCCATATATTCAAATTATTATAACTCAGGTTGAAAGAACCATCCTAATTTAACTGGATTAATACTTCGGGTGATAATAACCAACAATGAGGGAACAGCCAAGTAAACCCATTGGGAAACTAAAACAACCAAAGGAATAATAATAATAGATCTGTCTATCCTCCAGGTTTTAACAATAATCCAAAATTTAAGAAGAAGAAGTTATCTATAGAAGAAGTGTTGTTGCAAATGAGAAATCGGTTATAAAGTCAATGAGCTCAATTAGAAATATTGAGAATCAACTTGGA